ACATTCGTTTCTGCGTTTATGTCCTCAACCATCACAAAAGGTGACATCAGATTCCATTGTTTTTAAAAGGAACAGCGACCGAAATAAGAAGTGAATATGGAACGATCGAGACTCAGCGCAACAATTTTAATCATATCAATCAAAGTATTTTATTGTTACTATCACAAAACGGTTCTTCAATTTGCTGCTGACCAAATCTGCACGCCAATATAGCACCAAAAAGAGTATGAAGACTGAAAATTTGTCTGCGCTATTTATAAGGAATGCAATAAATTCATTAATCATTATGTATCGTAATATTACAGGATGGGATATTTCTCACGAGCATCCAGATTGCATTGAATGAGATAACGTTGAATTGATAAATATAAATTGAATTGAATATAACGATGAATTAATTTTGTATTATATTGAATATTAACATGTAAATTGAATTAACAATTAACATATCAAGATTTATCAACAACATTAATGTTGAATAATTAACATGAATAATAATAATGTAAAAAATGCATTAATATTAACAATAATAATAATACCAATGAATATAAATTCTATGAGAAATTCTATAATTTTTGAAATCCAAGCAATATAAGCGAATAGGAATTATTTATCACCCATTGTAGCATTAATATTGAACTGCACTAGTTTCTAACTGATGAAATATATTTCATTTATTCTATGAAGTAGTTCTCGGTGACCCTTCTTCCATACTATTGCAATTCAGTTTTTGTTTCTGATTTATTTCATCACTCAATTNTTCATTGTCCAGTGACATGAGTTACATCAGTAACTTTTGAAAAAAAAAGATTTATTGCGTCCCTCAATTGATAACGTCCATATTGTGGGCAACGATTGTATATCAAACATTTCATTGTCTAGTGACTCATTATATTAGTAACTTGAGGTTTTTCAACAAGGTGATTCTCGCAATGCGAGGAAAAATTTTTGACCGACACATGCTAATTGCTCTCGGCCTTGCTCAGAGCTTCTCGCTACTGCACACACCAGCTGAATACCGCTTACAACCAAATTGTGCTCATGTGCTTATGATGAGTCCTCATTCTTATTAGAAAAGAGAGTTTAATGTTTGGTGGAGGCGTCTTGTTACTGATTGTGCGGCGCCATGTTTTCCTATCGGATTTTGGGCTTGCAAATGGAGACCGAAGAAGAATTTTACCGTTGAAAAGTCGACGAAGGGACATCGCATGTTTTACTTTGTTTTCGCATCGTTCAGGCTTCCTTTTTCAGTTGTGCCACTTCGAACTGTTATATGTGATTATTGTGAAACGGTCTTCATAGAATTTCAACTTCATAGAGTTCTCTATGAAGCACAACTGATTTGTTCGAAACATCTAATCAACATACCTGTGTGATTTTTCGGCACTTGAACTCGTTGACGTATTGTAATGATGAAGATTACAGATTGAGCGACAGTATATCAAATAATGTGTTCTGATTAATGCAGTCAACATAGGATGTTCAATTCTCGTTTGAAAATGCATGCAAAAATAGTAATATGATTAAAAATGACATTTGTAATTCAACAAATTCATTTATTGTTGTATTGGTTGTTGTGACAATGTGAATGAAATATGGGAGGAACATGTCAGTGAAATCATAAGAACACGTTAATGAAATTATGGAACAGCATGAAAATATATTGATAATGTCAGTGATTTATGGAATGTTACGTGAAAATACTACATAATTATTCATTTTGCGTCAATTAATTCGATATTAATCACGAAGCTACAAGTAATAGCTGGAAAAAATTCAAGCAGGTCCGATCAGTGGGAGAAGGGAACGCTTGACGGGTTCCGTATAATGACCGTGATTTTCTAGTCCATAGCTGTCCATTGTTTGTAGTCCATCCCTGCTACAGAAGAATGGCAAACGATCGGCACAATCCTTGTTCTCCCAAAATCCAGTCTTGGTGTTCAGTGCAACACACAACGCATTTGGCTCACTCTTCGGATAACCTGAATGAATAGTTTCGAGAATGCGAATGAATAGGCATGTGATGAATACAAGGTTCTAGCTTAACGATTCAACGACAACGACGCTATTGAACAATGAATGTTGATCAAAGCAATAGGTGTATTGATTTTCAAACATTTGTAATTCAATTGCTCACACTTACCTGGTGCCCACTTTGTGAATTCTGTTCTCTCGCCATTAATCCAGTTCCAATCCCCATTTTCAGCCACATCGTTCAAACCAATCCACACGTTTGGCTCATCATCGTAGTTCATTGCGTATGCTTAAGATCAACCAAGTAACCACAAATTCAAATACCGTTAATCAACACCATCATTTAGAAATGTGATGCATTCTCAACAAACCGCACATAAGTGATTTCCCTCCCTGTTGTATCGGTTCAGCTTTTCAATAAGTAGCGCGATCCACTGAATTCACACAGAATGTTCACAATGTACGGTCTCACTCTTTGCAATCGTCTGTTGAATCTTCAAAGAAACTAAATCGAATGAACCTCTCAAAGCGGCATTCTCGAAGATGTTCGAAATTACAGCCAGCGATGCGTTCGGTACTTCTCTGCACGATTCGGATGCAAGGAAGAAATTGGCTTTCGGTATTGTGAAGTTGAAACATTTTGTCTCCGAAATGGGTGAACTAAACGATCCAATTGGACAATTGCGTGCACTTTCGATAGCCACCAAAAGAGTTGCTAATGATATCGATACCGCTATTTGACGAAGCATTTCAGTCTGTTGTTGTTCAACGCCTAAATTGAAATTTATTCACGATTGATTGTGAAAATATTGAGCAGTCAATGAAATGAACGTCAATGGTTCATGAACATCACCCATGATCTTTCAAATACCGCTGTCAGTGCCACTTGTTTTGGCCAGTTGATCACAGACTCAACCGATAAAGCCATAAGATTGTGTGCTTGATCGAGTTTAAACAGGAATACATGGTCAGGCTCAAACTGTGCTCAAAATAAACTGGTGAAGCTAGCATATTGGGGCGAAGATTGAAGCGAACTGCTTGAAGAAGAGGTACACTGAATGCGAGAAAGCTCTTCTTCTTTATTTATATTCATAAGCAGCACAAAAGAGCAATAAGACAATTTCGGCTATACAATACCATAAATGCGGTTCCCAAAATGTCAACGAATGATTCAAATTGAAGGAGACTGCTATTATTATTATTGTTCTCATATAATGGTGCTTTATTGTAGCTATCACAAGGTGATCTTCAGATGCGTACATGACTAATGACGTTTACTGAGACAATAATCATCAAAAGGAACGCAAACGTTTCAAAATTCGTCTCATTTGTCGAGCACAGCAAAAAACTTTTATCATTTTATTTTGGATCATTTTTGAGGATGTGTCATTTTATGGCGATCGATCCTCATGACGAACAAATAGTTCGTTGTTGCAATTGTATTTGAATCGTGCGAACAATAAAATGCCAATGCTTATTCATAATCAACTCCAACTCATAGTCAGTATCAGCTATCAAGCGATTNAATAAAATGATTTCAACTTGTTGGTTCCGTTTCAACGATGTGTTCAACTGTGTACCACTTGCGTTTAACCCATACCATCACAAAGTGATATTTGACTGCTTGTTGTGTTGTGGTCAAATAACCGACATCATCACAAATAATAAACATATCATCAGGTAACTAGGCATGATTCAAAAAAGGATGACACCTGGAATAAAGAATGTAGTGAAGGTGAAATCAAAAGTGGTGAAAACTGAAGAATAGAAGTTTGACTCAAATTTTAAAGTATAGCAGAACAGTTCCCAAGAGTAGTAGATTCACATCTTCTGTAGTCATAACAAAGGATCACAATCTCGTTGATATGGTCAAACAGTGAACATGACGAACATTTCTGATGACGTGAACCGTCACATGCGAAAATATAGATCAACATGGTTCCGTAATGTTATATCATTCGGGTTGCGTTTCGTGATAGAATCAAAAACGAGCCATTCGAAGGAGATTGGTAAAAAGACTCCAATTCACCATGAAATATGTTGCAATTTCACAAACTTATGTCAATAAACTAATCAAACATTTTATTTGGTGCTGCATGCAACATTTTTAAACTCCCATACATATTTGTTGATCTCATTCGCTTCATGCGGAGAGTTTTGCTCGAAGCCGAAAATTGCATCAATATCACTGACGTTATAGGCTATGATTTTGAGTTAGGCTGTGATTCATGAAGGATATACTTTTTTTCAAGTGAACATGTATTCACATGAGGCAGCTGCTTAATCCAGAAATTCTGTTAAACCAATCACAAAAACAATGATTCTCATTCGGAATAATATCTCTTTGGTATGATCATATTTGAGGCTCTTTGACCGAATCCAAGCGATACAAAGGGTATACTTTTCATATGGAATACCTCATCGAATGCGAATCCACCAATCCACTTGCCTTCATGATGTTGTCATTTGCTGCAAAACATGCTCCAAAAACTACCCATTCGTTTCCTAATGGATTGGTCAATGCATGGATGAAATTATGAATGAAGTGAGGATGGGAAAAACATGTTTAAAAAAACTATAAAAATTTCACATCAATGTGAAATCCATCGCAATTTGTTCAAACCACAAACAGAAATTTTCGGTTTATTGAATGTTCCATTGAGAATACGAATTCAAGTACATGTGCAAATTCAGTATTTAATCGAAAAGAGACATATACTTATGCGTTCACAACAATTGGATTGCTTATTGCGTTCACAAGATTCAGTTTGTTGCTTATTTGGTTTCATTCCGATTTGCACGATCCAGAGCGGACAACTCATCCAATAAATCATCAGTTTTTTTTGTAGTTGCTTCTAACAAGCCTTCGTAACGTCTTGTAGCGTTTCCACCGCGCGGAAATGAAATCGAATCAATACTGCAAAAGAACGGCAATCGATTCGCGCAATCTTTATTCTGCCAGAATCCGGTCATCGTATTCATTGCAACGCACAATGCGTTTGGTTCACTTTTTGGATATCCTGAAATAAATTTTTACAATCAGTTTTTAGAGTACATTACGTTTGAGTGGCATCGATAAATGCTTTCACATTGTATACATCACCATTGATAATATGAATGCAAGGGATGAAAATGACACTTAACGGTAACTGCAAGATGGAGCATTAAGAGTGATCCATCCGTTAAAGAAGGGGGCATCTCACTTACCCACTGCCCATCGACTGAATGTTGCATTGTGTCCATTAATCCAACTCCACTGACCGTTTTCGGCCACATCGTTCAAACCAATCCAAGCGTATGGCTCATCGTCATAGTTCAGTGCATATGCTGAGATCAACTCTTATGACTACTAATGATAATGGAAGCTAAACAAATAGCTGTCAAGTACCTCAATATTGTTTTATTTTAAGTATGGTGAGACATAAAACTTACAAAATGAGGCTGACTAAAG